TATTTTAATAATAAACCACCGATGAAACAAACCTTGATTTCATGATCACATTGATTTAACAATACATTGGGCCTATTTTTAACTGATTCTAGAAACTTGATTTTATCTTTTAATTTTTTAAAAAATATTTTGTTGTGTTCTCAACAGATTTTAGATTTTTTTAGGCCCAAAAAAACTAAAAATTAGAAGTAGGATTTGAGGTGCTTTGGATTTTGATTCTGACCTATTTTTCATGTAGACAAAATTACCTTCAAATTTCAATATAATTATTAAATTACCCAAAGATTAGATAACTTTTTATGGCCTTTTTATTTTCTTCCTTTTTCATTTCACTCCCAGATTCATTTAAGTGTCCCCTGTTTTTCTCATCTATCATTTAATCTTTATATAAAAAGTAATCAATTATATCAAAAATTATTTAGTCAGTAAAAAAATTCATTTGTGTAGCATATAAGGGCAATATGGTTGTCTTTTTGTCAAAATCAACTTTTTAACTTTTTTGAGAACAACTATGCATTTATTAAAGTAGCTTTTTTAATAGTAAATGAGAACAAACGAGTTATTCTAAAAAATTTGATTTTAAGAATCAATTTTATAAAATTAGCTTTTACAAAATCAGAATTGGTTGAGACTTGAGAACAGGCCTTTTGTACAAATATAATAGAGAGTTGAGAAGAAATATCATCTATTGGTTCATGGAGCTTAAAAAGTGGATGATTTGTTGTAATTGGGACTCTATCTCCAATAACATAAAATGGAGTGTTAATATAACATAATAAAAGGATTAGTTCTACTTTGCACCTTTTAACTATACTTCAATTCCTTTAGAGATGCTTTAGTCACTAAACTGTTAAAACTTCCCATATAAGTAGAATCTTGAATGGAATCACCAAAATTAACAAAATAATAGTAATTTGAGCAGCAGGGTTACATATTGTAAGGGCATAGAAGGAAAATCAGATTAAACAATAACAAAAAATAAAAGGGTTGAAAGGATTTCGAGAGATCCAATATGGGAATGAGGCATCTATATGTGTGTGTGTGTGTGTTGCAGGGAGGATTTTTAGGATGGTTAAATCAGAATGCTTCTAACTCCTCATTCTTTTTTTTTTTATATAGAATTTTGAATTTTTTAATTGTTATATATCCTTTCATGTCTTTCAAATTTTAAAAGTAAGATCTGGCTACACTTATATAGGAATTTGATTTGAAATCTATTAATGTGAGGGTAAATAAAGAGAAATTTTCACCAAACCTACTAGAAGTTAAAAAAAATAAATAACAATAATTTGCCCTTCAACTTAGTAATCCTAACTAACTGTAATATTATTTTATTATGGTTGGCCGATAGAAGAAAAATGGAGTAGGGGAAAGTTAAATAGAGGAGGTTGGGGGGGCTATCCAAGGTTTTAGGAAAATGGTGAGCCGAAAAGGATAGAAAATTGGGTGGCAAGGTTAGGGAACTAGAAGCTAACTATAGGCAAAGGAAAGGGAAGGAGTTAAAAAGTGGCCGGAAAAGTTGAAAAGAAAGATGAACTATCATAAGGTTGAACGGAGAGAGGGGAAAAGAAACAAAGACATTGTGGTGATATGACAGGAAAGATGACACTGTGATAAGAGGCCTCAAAGTCATAAAAGACAGCAAATAGCCAGTAAACATGTAAGAGAGGATGGAAAGGGTGATAATTTTTAATAATTTTTAAAACTTTTAAAACACGTATAACAAAGATTTTTTAAATCTATTAAAGTTTATGAAGAAAACTATTCTATGGGCATTGAACAATTTTAGAATTACAAGATAGAAAAAAAAATTTCAAAATTGTGGAAAATAAATTAGTTATAATTTATATTTTTAATATTAAAAATTTTCATATATGGTTATAACATGAAATATTAATAAATAGGTTTACAATAGCTCTAACATGTAAATCATTATAAATTAAATGATTTTATTCAAATTGTTATCATATATTGATTGACAATAGGTAAACAAATTTTGATTTCAACTTATTTAAGATATTAAAATTAAGAAAGTCCATTTTGTATTTACGAAATAAACTTCTTTTTAACATGTTAAGCATACACTTTCTTGAATATTTTTGCTTTTTTCATGCACTTTATTCTATAATATAATATATAAGTATATTAGAATTATTTTGAATTGAAATATAAATCTCTGCATAGTATGGATCAGAATACCAGTGTCCAAATTTAGAGTTTAGGGACTAAAATGTCTTAATTTAGATTGTAGGAACTAAAGATGGAATTGCGGTATAATTGAACCCCCATAACTAAATTCTCACCGATTGAAAAGGTAAAGCAATATTACACCAAGATGGCTACATGAACATCGTCTCTTTCTCTTGTGGGTCCTCCTTAAATCGATTACGTGGCCGATTTTTCGATTAACTTCTGTGTTTCTCCGTTTGATAACACTAAATCTGAATTCTGAATTCTGAACTCTGAATTCTGAATACTGAAATAATTAATTTGCTGAATTTTAAGCACTGAAAAGAGATATATGAATGTCTGAATCTTAATGCTGAATCTATTTATACTGTTTGATAAATATTCAAAACTTAATGCTTAATAAGCTAAATTGTACAATTTTGCCCTTCTATCTTTTAATCCAAAAAGGAAATAGAACCTATGATTTAATTAACTTAAAATTGTTAGGTATGAAAATGACAATGATTGTGAAGAGCAATGCATACAATGACAATGTTTTTTTGTGTGGGAAAAGGGTATGGTTTCATCGTTTTGAGAATGGAAAAAGGAGTTTTTAATACTCCAAAAGCACGTTCAATTACATTTCTCAATCTTGCATGTGCTTGGTTAAAGCGTTCTTCTTTTGATCTTGGACGAGAAGCATTTCGAAAATCAGACAACCAATATCTAATATTTCGATATGGTGTCATAAAGTCACGTGTGTGTGGATAAGCTGCATCACATAAATAATATTTATCTGCACAAAAAAAATATCAAAATATAAATGTTTGTGGATGAAAATTACTGCAAAACAATATTATTGTTAAAAAAAAATTTTGAATAGAGAATATCAGGTTGTTTTGTTTAATTAAATAAGGATTTTGAATAGGGAATATTAGGTTGTTTAATTAAATAAGGATTTTGAATGTAATTAACAAACAGGGATATATTTGGTAGATAAGATAAAGTAGTTAAAGTAAATCTCTTGACTCTTATCAAATTAAGCATTCAGCTACGATTCTTGTGCTGAAAAAAATACATACAAATTCAGCACCACTTAATAAGTTCAGCAGGTGAATTTTTATTTATCAAACACCCACAACATCTGAATGTCTGAATGAATTCAGTTTCAGCACTTTTTTATGTTATCAAACAGGCACTTAGTCTAATTAGTGGTGTGTGTTAATTTCGTTTACGGAAAACAGCTACATGAAAACATAGAGTACTTTCTACTTTCTAGTTGGGGATAATTGCAGAAACCTCCCTTGAAGTTTCTGACATTTGCACTAACCTTTTCTGTGATTTGAAAAATTACACTAACCTTCCCTGAGGTTATTAATCCTTTGCAAATTCAGTCCAAATGATTAAAATATTATTTTAGGGAGTGAAATTAGAATTTTTTATCAAATTTGTCCTTTGTACTATATGTCCAATGAATGACAAAATACTACAAATCAATTAACAATTAATAAACTTTAAGGAGTATAGTTTATAGACAAATATACATTACCTATTTACAGTACCAGCTCTTTATGGGTATTTTACTTTCAAACATTTAATTTAATACAAATATTTAATCTCAAATACATATTTGTATTTACTTTCAAATATTTAATTTTTGTTAAATACAAAAACTACCAATCTCTCTTCCGTAAAAATATTAATATAACACTTTTTCAATTTTAATTACAAACATTTATGTATTTAACATAAATTAAATGATTCAGAATAAAATACCCATAAAGAGCCAATACTTTACTCATGTAATGGATAGAAGTCATAAAGAATTAATACTTTATGGGTCATTTTTTTAAAAAAATATTTAATTTATATTAAATAAATAACCTACCGATTTCCTTTTTGCAAGAATATTACTGTAACACTTTTTGAATTTTACTAACAAATATTGATATATTTATCATAAATTAAATGTTTGAAAGTAAAATATCCGTAAAAAATCGGTACTTTAAATAAGTAATGCGTGTTTGCCAATAAAGAGCAGGTAACTATTTAAAGTATCGGTTCTTTAAGGGTATTTTACTTTCAAACATTTAATTTAATACAAATATTTACGTTCAAATACATATTTGTATTTACTTTCAAACATTTAATTTTTTTTTAAATACAAAACCTACCAATCTCTCTTCCGTAAAAATATTAATATAACATTTTTTTCAATTTTAGTTACAAACATTTATGTATTTAACATAAATTAAATGATTCAGAATAAAATGCACATAAAGAGCGAATACTTTACTCGTGTAATGGATGAAAGCCATAAAAAATTAATACTTTATAGGCTATTTATTTTTTTAAAAAATATATTTAATTTATATTAAATAAATAACCTATCGATTTTCTTTTTATAAGAATATTACTATAACAATTTTTGAATTTTACTTACAAATATTGATATATTTATCATAAATTAAATATTTGAAAGTAAAATACTCGTAAAGAGTTGGTACTTTAAATAAGTAATGCGTGTTTGTCCATAAATTATACTCCTTAAAATTTATTAATTATTAATTGATTTATAATACTTTGTCATTCATTGGATATGTAGTACAAAGGGCAAATCTGGTACAAAATTCTAATTTCACTCCCTAAAATAATATTTTAATCGTTTGGACTAAATTTGCAAAGGATTAGTAACCTCAGGGGAGGTCAGTGTAATTTTTCAAACCATAAGGGAGGTTAGTGCAAATGTCAGAAACCTCAGGGGAGGTTTCTGACATTATCCCTTCCAGTTTCTACATCCTGAGGTTTCTTTGTGATTTCTAAGTAACTTCCGAGAATTCTGCTTGAAGGTTGCTTAAAATATCGCTTTTGGGTCCGCCTAGCTTTTTCTTATGGTGTTTTAGGAGTTGAGTTGGGATCGGGGTTAAATGGGCTATGTGCATAAAAGAGAAGATAAAGAGAGTTAAACTCACCTAAGTGATTATGCTTTGGATAAAAGTCAGAAGTTGGTGATGGTGGATTCTTGGATTGGTGCCTCTGTAGTTGTTCTGAAATCTGGCGTCTGAATGTGACTTCATCAGATGCCTAAATTGAGTTTGGCACCAAGAGCTACGGATGGGGTTCCTATTACTTTAGAGTTGTTGAATCTTTTTGCTTAATTCAGTTGTTACTCAGTAATCCAATGGATATAGAGAAGGGAAACAGTGTATCTTCTGCTGGCCATGAGGTAGACGAAAGTGGCAGATTCTTCAGTTTTACTCAACTAAGTGGTAGTCTTCAAAAGCTTTTGCATGATGCTGAGTTTGACTACAGTGATGCGGAGATTGTTGTCGAAGGAACTTCTGTGGGTGTAAATCGCTGTATTTTGGCTTCACGAAGTCCATTTTTCCATGAATTGTTTAAGAAGGGTAATGATACTGGCTCTGCAAATGAAAGTAAACCAAACTATGTCATAGAAGAACTGGTGCCCCATGGCAAGATAGGATATGAAGCATTTTTGGTTTTCTTGAATTATGTTTATACTGGAAAGCTCAAGCCTTCTCCACTAGAGGTTTCAACATGTGTTGATGAGTCTTGTGCTCATGATGCGTGTGCCCCTGCAATTAACTATGCAGTGGAGCTTATGTATGCTTCTGCTACATTTCAAATGGAAGAACTAGTTCTGGTTGTTCAGGTGAGCTTTAATGGCCAATCCGGTTAATTTCCTTATGCTAGGTCAGTCTGCTTGTGCTCCTTTTCATATTTGGAAGACATCTTACAAAATTTTATCCTATACTCTGGTAAATGCAGAAAAGATCAGTACTTCATTGGTTTCACAATAACTGCTAGCCATTCTAAAATCAAAAGATTCTCTAATCATAAATGAGCAGATGATACATTAGGCCCACATAGATAATGATTTCTTGGATTCAATTTCTAGTTCACTCCTGGCATCCATCCAATGCACGAATCAAAAAAATGATTTCTTGAAGGACAGGGAAATACAATTAGAAACTTGTGCAGTGCTGTTAAAATCAGATATACTGTCAAAACATGAGATCAATGATAAATATTGTTTCCTATACCATGCTAAGTCTTTGATTATTATAAAGAACACTTCTAGAACATCTTTCCATATTATGACTTGCCGTGATTTCACACCTATATCTACATATCCACAAATATGGTGCTGAATGCTAGGAAATATAGTACAACTTCTTAGACCTTTTTGTTGACATATTTTAAACCAAGCATATTTAGAATTTTAATAGTTTTAGAAATTGATTTGTTATTTGGTAACTATATTAGATTTGGTATTACAGTGGTTTAGGAAATAGAGTTGAGTTATGTTTTGGTTTTATAGTAAGAATAGGATTTGTGGTTATGTTTTTCTATTTAAGGACTGGGAGTTCTAAGTTTGTAGTTGAGGGAAATTTGTGAATGAAGAAGAATATTTTGTTTTTTCCCATGCCTTTCTTGTTGTTTATTATTTGTAAGATTTTAATGCTACTTCCACTGCGTGATTTTTTGTGCTAACACTTTTAACTCATGAAATCATTTCCTAGCTTTTGGTTAGCTAAAATTGTCTACAGAATATGCTGTACATATAAATAAACTTGGTTTGGGACGGAATTCTGTTTCTGATTCATTATAAATAAACTTGGTTTGGGACAGAATTCTATCTCTGATTCATTTCTTGTTGACAGTCTTGGTAAGCATATTTGAGCAGGTCGCACCTGCAATTCTGTTCAAGTTGAGTATTATCTTAACCTGGACCCAACTATACTTTGGCTTCCATTTTGCTTTCTTTCTCACTGAAATTATGCATTCTGTTACTAGATTACAAGCCGTAATGTATGGCTAACTGTACTCATATATTCATATCGTAGCATAGCATTAAGTTTTTGTACTCTTAGTGCTTTACTAAGTTGCATGGTGTTTTACTAAGTTGCATAGGGTTTCCATTCAAGCTTGTTATGTGCTTCACATTAAGTATGTCTCTCTCTCTGCATTAACGTATCAACTAGTTAATTCTTGTTCATTTATCTTGTTCCCAGTTTGTAGGGAAGGTTACAGATATTTCTTTTTGCTATTATCACCTTACCAATCTGGTTTACATCAATTTTTTTTAAAAAAAAAATTGTTTCTGATGCATGTTTCTTTTGGATGCAGCGTCGGCTTCTTAACTTTGTTGATAAGGCTCTTGTAGAAGATGCAATTCCAATAGTTGTAGTAGCCCTCCACCAGCAGTTGAATGAGCTCCTTTCATACTGTATCCAGAGAATAGCACATTCAAATCTTGATAATCTCACTCTTGAAAAACAGCTTCCACATGAAGTTCTGACAGATATTAAATGCTTCAGGAAACAACTTAACCAAGACCTGGAGCATGTCACTGGTGAAGCAAATTCAGTGTCTGACAAGAGAATCAGAAGGATACACAAAGCATTAGACTCTGGTGATGTAGAATTGTTGAAATTAATTCTGGATGAATATACTATTACCTTAGATGATGCTTTTGCTCTTCATTATGCTGCTGCGTATTGCAACCCTAAGGTTGTCATTGAGGTGCTCAATCTGGGCAATGCTAATCTCAATCTTAGAAATACTCAAGGATATACCGTACTTCATGTGGCAGCTAGGCGCAAGGATCCATTAGTGATCATCAGCCTTCTCAGCAAGGGAGCATATGTGTTAGATTCTACAATTGATGGACAATCATCAATTACAATTTGTCGGAGGTTGACTCGGCGTAAGGATTATAATGAATCAATAAAGCCTGGACAGGAAACTAATAAAGACAGATTATGCATTGATGTGTTGGAAAAAGAAATGCATAGAAATCCACTAGCTGGTACTCTGTGTATGTCATCAATTGTGGTGGGAGATGATTTGATTATGAAGCTGCTGATCCTTGAAAATAGAGGTAATATTTCTATCTATAAAGTTCAATACTGTATCCATGCCTTATTGACCCCAGTGGGACACCATCTGCTTAAAATAGGCTCCTTGAATATAATTTTTTGCATCCATTTCTGGTGGCATCAACTTTTGAAGGTTTACTTTTCAATCTGAATTTTTTGTACATGTGTTTTTGAGCCTGCATCAGTAACTATGAGCGCCACATGATGCTATAAATAAATAATACAGGCATTGTGTTGGTTCTACTTTCTTGACTTGCCTAGAGGATTGAAAAAAATGAAATGTCTGTAGTATAATCAGGAAAAGTATTGAGCCTTGACTAATTGATCAAGCAAAAGTCCCAAGTTTCATTATTTAATTGAAAATCAGGTAGTCAATGTATGATGATCTAATAAGAAACTTTCAGCCAAACTGTTGCGTTAGATGGCAACGATTGGTAAAACCTTTGCTGTTCCCTGGACATGTACCAATTTTATAAGCCTAATGCCCTGAAATTGAATCAAGCTGGAATATTTATGATTAAAGTAGCAACCAAATTTATTCTGAGATGAAACTTAACTTCTTCTGGAAACAAGTGCTTCCTTTATAATCTTTAGAGAAAGGTAAAAGTTCCCATTTTTTAGAGACGAAAAGACAATACATGGTTTTGGAGTAGAACATAACAAGAACCTGTGTAATGATTTACGTATCCTCCGGAAATACCAAGTAATACTTCTCTGTCCTTAATAGAAGGCTGAAACAATTTTATTTGTGGTTATCATCCAGTGAAAAGGTCTGATGAATTTAGCTATTATACCAATTGAAAGAATGTAATCTTGACAAGCTCAGAAAGTTCGCTTCTCATTCAACTGAAGAATCCTCTGGTAGTCCTTTAGTTGTGGTGGAGTGGTTTTTGAGTGACAGGCTCCCCTACTTGGCATCCAGTTTGCTATATTTCTTCACATGGTGATGTGTCATTAGCCTAATGATCATCTGACAAGGGTTCCAGGTGTTGTAAATTAGTCCCATCTTCCCTACTGCAGTTGCCAAAGTTTCTTTTACTGTTTTAATCATCCTTTCCTGCATCATTGAATGTAATTCCTAGAACTTCAATGTGTCCTAAAGTTTTTGGCTTCTGGCAGTGGCATTTGCACAAATATTATTTCCCCGAGAAGCTATGCTAGCAATGGAAATAGCCAATGTGCATTCAACCTCAGCACCTGAATTCTCGCATCCAAATATGATTGATTTGAATGAGATACCATATGAGCAAGTAAAACGACTTCAATTGCGGCTACAAGCCATGCAAAAATCAGGTATTTAAGATCTCGAGCATTCTTTGTATCTTGGGAAAATTAAGTGACTCTAAGTTTGATGGATTGCTAAATATCATCAACAGAGGTGGCATTGACTAGTTACATAATAATAGAGTAAATAATAGATGTCCATCTCTGGTTTTCTATCCTCTGCTAATTAATTCAAAACAAAAAAGTTAAAAACAAAACAGTTCCTTGTCTGGTGTTCTCTGATTATGCCATCGACAGCTTAGAGTTATATTTTGCAGAGATATATCAGTATTTGGCATCATTTAACTATATTTTAGGACCTTCAGATGATCATGTATATGTCATTCTTTTTCCCATTTCTTGGATAATTTGGAGCAAGCTAGAAACAACATTAGTGCTTAATGAATGCTAAATTACAAAAGCTGGTCTTCAATATTTTTAAATACTAATGATCGTCATCTTTGTTCTTTGCCTGACTAGCATTGCAATTATTGTTGCCGAGTGGAGGAGTTTTTGATCCCAATTGGAGTCAATTCCAGATCAACAACAAAAGAGGTGTCTGGGCAAAATTCTAAATTTGGATTCATATAAACAATTTGACCAAGATATTGGAGTGCTTTGTTTCTAGCCACAGGATTAAGTTGGGTGTTTAGTTTTGTAGTCATCCTAAGATGTTACAACTCTAGTTAATATATTAGTACACCTATGAACTTGTGACTTGCATCACTGTTTGTCCTGTTTATGACTAATATGCCAGCCTTCAAAAGGTACTGGATGGTGAACCGAGATTAATAAAATTGCGTACCAAAATCATTAGATTTTACAATTAGAGGTTCTGAGTACAAGTTATCATTTCTTTGGTTCATAAAGCATCATCATTGCAATCTCAGGATCTCCATCTCTGATTGCTATGTTTCTGTCTTGGCAGTGGAGATTGGTCGGCACTTTTTTCCCAATTGTTCTTTAGTTTTGGATAAATTTTTGGAGGATCACATGCAAGAGACTCTCATGTTTAATTCTCCAGAGAAGGAGCAGACTAAGAAGAAGATGCCTTACTTAGAACTCAAGCTGGAGGTAATGAATGCATCTGATGAAGACAAAGGTGAAAGTAACTGGCTGAGCATTTCAACTTCTATCTCTTCTTGTTCATCTTCTACCAAGGCTAGTGTTGACATTAATGTTAGGAAACGAAAATCAACAAGTTCAATTGATGGAGAAATGTCCACGACAATCTGCCAGAGGTTTACTCAACCAATGGATTTTAAGGAAACAACAAATGCAATGACTGGTGATATATCTATGTCATCGATGGTGCTGGCTGATGATGTGGTTATGAGGCTGCTGCTACTTGAAAATAGAGGTAAAAATTCATTAAGTGAATCTGTTCAATTTTCAGCTATGGTACATTGATGGAGAATGTTATCAGACAAGTTTAAGAAGCTTTTTAAAAGACAATCATGATCAATTTGTGCTTTTAGGTTATTTTTAGCTGAAATATTATTTAGAAAGATAGCTTTGGGTGGTTCTGGAAGTAGCTTTAGAATATTGGCAAAACTATCAAATAAGATTTTGTTAAATATCTTTTTCTAGAATGTATTTTGTTTACTTAGATTTCAAAAAGCATCTGCTTGGTTGGAGCTGTTTTTTCAAGAACATGTTTTATGTAATTCCATTGGTCTCCAACCACACTTTTATTGCACATGCATGCGTACCAAAATGGTGCTACAGTTTTCTTCCGTGCGTTTACAATGCGCTTGCAGGAGGAAGTTTAAAGACAAAGCACAAAGGCAAAATTGAAAATGAAAAGTACAAACGAAACTTATTTTGTCCAAAAGTATTAGGCAAAAGGATAAGTGACTGTTTTGAATTTTGAGGGGTACAAGTGCATTTGGATGTAAAATTGAACAGGCTGAGCAACTCCTTGGTTCATTGGAAGATCCTCTCTATTATGTTTCTGCTTCACAGAATCCAACATTTGGAATGGCAGTGGATAATAACGGCTCATTCACTCACTAAATTACTTAGTTGAATAGCTACTTAAAGAGTTCAAATATTTGCACTGTGCAGCTTAGCTTCCCAAATGATGTGTTGGATTCCCATTTTGCGCTAAATAGTTTCTTCTAATTACTGTAATTCATATAAGAGTTGTTCCCAGCTACGTTTACTTTGAGTTAATTTGCAGCTTCCATTATACGAGCATTACTTCCCTCTGAAGTCAAGCTGGCAATGGAGATAGCAGATACAGATTCATCCTCAGAGTTTCACACCTTTTCAGCATCCAGCACCTTGTGCGGAAACTTGAAAACGGTCGACTTGAACGAAAGTCCGTTGGAGCAAGAAAAACGACTTCAAGCTCGGTTACAGGCCTTGGGAAAAGCAGGTAGTGAAGCCCATAAGTCCTCTTCAAAGCATTGGAAATATAAGTTGTTGGTCTTTATTTTTGTTAGGAAATGGTCATAGTTCCTAGAGACTACAATTTAGATGGAAGGTCTCCATTGTTGTGGAAATCATTATTCACCAATCATGGTTCAGAAATCTACCGTTTTATGGCATTCTTGTATTTCATCTTGCAATGTTGTAGACACACTCTTTTTTCCTCTAATTTTGGAATATATGAAAAATATCCTGATGATTCACGGCATACTTAAACAGTCCATGTTCATTATCTAGATGTCAATCTCAGAGTGAAAATATGAAGCACGTTAAGAAAAGATTTGGTTGGTAAAGCAACTCGGTAAAGTGCAGTAGTCATTTTACTCAATAAATTTTGAACTCACTAAAGTTCATCGTCATAAGTTCAAAAGTTGACATTTTACTTCTGTGTTGCACATTTGATGGCAGTGGAGAAGGGTCGCCAATTTTATCCCAGTTGCTGTGAAGTTCTTGGCAGGTTTCTGGAAAATGATGCAGAGGATGTAAGAATCAAAGAAATTAAGGAGGAGATCACTAAGGCATTTGAGACAGACAAAGCTAGAATTCACTCAACACACTTTTCCGCACCTTCACCAAGTGAAACCGGTGAACCCCCTTTCTCTTCTGAAGTTATATGTTTGTTCTTTTCCCTTACATTTATCTATGTATTTTGTTTTGGGTTTTTTAAGCCTCTTTGTCATCTGAAATTTTGGCAACAATTTGTTAGATACTGACTTCTTGTTGGAGAAGTTCGGAAAGCTGCTGAAAGGAATTAATATAACAAGTAAAAGACAAACCATGGGACTCGATGAGGCAATGATGGCATTCAATAATATAGATAAAGATAGGAATTTCTCATCATCATCTTCTTCTGGCACAATATCTAGTGTGAATCAAGGTGCTGGCCGTGGGAAAAGATCATTGTGCTAAATTTGGTTCTTCATGAGCATGGGAACATTCATTGCCATCTGTTTCAAGCTCAAATACAGCCTATGGCTTACTAAAATCAAGTTTTTCTTCTTGTAAACGTATGATAATAGATCATGAACTAGCTGTATTAATCTATATTAATCCCAGGTATGCTATCAATGTCCCTTTTCTTCTAGGTGTTTTTAGCTTACAAGAGCACGATAATGAAATTATGAACTTGCTATAATCTGATTCTTTTGCTATTTGACTTGAATCTCTTTGCGCATCCATAAAGCCAATCTTTCTTTTGATTAGGCATTGCATAGAACTCTAGAGTTCAAAAGTTATGCATGCAAACGACATACACGTGGATCTAGGAAGAGTCAAGTTTAGTTGCCTTACTGATGCAAATAAAGAGGTCCTAATTGAAGTCATTGCCACCATGAGGGGAGGAGAAAGATAGCAACTAGAGCTTTCATTAATTATCAGTTCTAAAGGAAGTGATAGTTGGGATCTGCCCTATGTTATTTTACTTAGTTGATGTAGGCACCATTATTTGCATGAATCATAGTCACGAATAAAGCTCAATTCTTTGTTGGTGTTTTCCATTGTCTACAGTGTTAATTGAGGTTTTGAATATTTGGAGGGAGATTAACACTCTTCTTTAGTGAAAATCTTTGTCATCTTTCATGATATTGACAGATGCAAGGAAAGGAGAAAATAGAGAAGACAATTTTTTTGCAATATATATAGGCCCTATTTGGAAAGTGAGTTTTTTAGGAGTTTGTCTAAAACTTTATTATAACTTACTGTAGAAGTTTTTAAAAATTTTTTTGAAAAGTCTAGATTTTTGAATATTTTGAAGTGTATAGTTTAAAATTTTTGAGAAATTTTTGAGGTTACTGTAGCTAAAGTTTTTAAAAACTTACAGCCGACGAACTTGAGAAAACACTTGGGTAGGTCAGCTTTTTAGGAGTGTTTTTTAAGCTTGAACCATAGGGTGATCAGACACCTGGTCGAATCATGATTTGTTTGGTTAAACCAGCCATGTCGTTCAGTTTGTCGAATGATAGCAAATAAAAATCCTTTAGAATGATAAAGAATCCACAAGAATGGGAAGCAAGGCCGAAATTCAATTGGAAGTTTAGATGAAACCAAGGAAAAGCACTTAAAAATTACTATTAAATTGGAAATGTAATTGTACCTTTTTTAATTTTTTATGCAATGTAATGGTAAATGTATCTTCACTATTAGAAATTCAAAACATCAAAATATGACAATTAAAAAGATAAAAGCATTCTGCATTTCATTTTTTTTTCTTTTTTCAAAATTTCCAAGAGCTAATTGGGATCATCAATATATGCAAAGCAAAAATAATAAAGCAGTCAAAAAATTTCTTTTTGTCGTCTAACTTAAACACAAAAAATAAAACTGTCCAGATAATACTAATTTACATGAAGAAATCAATTTGCATAAGATTTATTAATAGTAATTACATACTCAGAAAAAGGAACAAAACTTAAACAGTAAAAATTAGACAAACATGTAGAAACAATAGATGTTAATTTCTTGAAGAAAATGAATGAGAGATTTTTAAGCACTTCAAACACTCGTGCCTAGAACGAGTAGTAGCAAGCAACCGCATAAGCTGAAATTGATTGACAACGAAAAGAAATGTGAGGAAAAAAAAAAAGACGACACAAAGCATTTAAAAAAAAAAAAGGGGAATCACAAAAAGTTGATAAGTTTGTGATTTTTATTTTACTCCATTTTATACTTGTATACTTTAAATTAGTCCGTGAATTTGCAGAACACCCAAACCAATGGAAGGGTTTTTTCAATTCGAATGGTGCTGGTCCATTTTAGTCTTCAGTGTGTACCTTAAATAGTAAATTTTGTGTGAAGTTAAATTATGTTCCAAGGGCTTCCATTAAAAATTTCTGTTCTATTTTCCTTTTTCCTATCCCATTTGAGAAGAGTTGGAGCCCCTTTTGTTCATAAATAAGGAGGTATCAATGAGATTGCTAGAAACCATCTAACATGATTTGTATAACAAAATCAGGAGGGACGTTTCATAGAAAATCACTACAATTGGCAGATCTTGCATAAGAAGCTAGACTATGTGTCAATTTGTTTGTCTCTCTTGAAACCCAATTTACATTGACACAGTTTTGATCTAGCAAATACATATGAACACCATCAATTACAGTCCTTATATATCGTCTTTTATCTCTAAGAAGCTAGATAATCGATGATGTCCACCTACAAATGTGTATTTATAACCACCTACATTACATATGGGAGTATTTCCACGAAGTATAAATCAATTCCTTAGTGAAAATTGTGATTTATTTGGATAACATATAGACAAAATTCTTGTTTGTTGTGCATGCTTGTGAATTATGCCCTTAAATAACAATATACATTTGGAATTCTTTTTTTTTTTTTTTCAGATGCAGGGGATATCCGGTCCTTCGGTCCGACTAATTCCCCTGCGGCCCGAGAGAAGAGGCCCCATCCCCTCAAACACGGTAACCATGGGACTCGAACCCTAGTGAGACTGAACAATGGTTCCTAAGGAGGCTTCTGTAACCTAGGGCTGCAAACGAATCGAGTCGCGCGAGCGGTTCGAGTCGAGTTCGAGCTGATTCGAGTCAAAATCGAGCTCGAACTCGAGCTCAAAATATTAAGCTCGAGCCGAGTATGTATATATATATATATATATATTTAAAATTTTTTTATTTTAAGTATATATATATTTTTATTTTTTATTTTAAGTATATATATATTTTTATTTTAAGTGTGTATATATTTTATTTTTTATTTTAATGGTAAAATTACATATATATCCTTAATATTTTATTATTTATTAAGAAAAATATTATTTTATTTATTTTTTTAAAAATAAAATAATTATTTTTTATTTTTTTCGAGCTCGAGGTTTAAATTGCCAGCTTGTCGAGTTCGAGCTCGAGTTCGAGTTCAATAAAATTAAGTCAAGGCTCGGTTCAATTAGGTCAAAACTCGACTCGGCTCGACTCGTTTGCAACCTTACCGTGACCAACCAAGCTGCCCATGAGAGGCACATTTGGAATTCAAATTTTGGTAATATTGATTTTTCATTTTCATTTGCTCCAATGTGTTGTGAGCGGTGAAAATTGACAATTATACCTATGTTAAGTTTGCTTCCCAGCTAGCCTCGGTGCTTCTGAGAATTTCCTACTGTATGCAAAGTAAAAGATATATTCAATCCTTTTTTTAATATAAATATACATAATGATAAGCTGTTTGGATTAGCTGTTTTTGGGAATTTGCATGCCTGTATTATTTTTTGACTCCAACAATGAAAGGCCAATTTTATCTATTTTTTATGCCTTTTTGTAGAAATTTGGTAAGTTATTCTGATGGATAATGAATTGTATCAACAAGGGTTTACTAAGTCAATTACCTTTATTGATGTTGGAAAATTTTCAAAATTGGTCAGTTGATGTCCGGCCCCAGTCTTTGGACTGGACATTGAACTAAACATCACCAGATTCTTGAATTGAACAAAATATGTGGTGACCGACGCCGGTCTTGCGATTAGACATCACCTGAAGTCAGTCTAACGGTCAGAAATTGAACGTATTTGGTACCTCTTCATGCTACAATGGTTAGTCACCTTTTGAATGGTGCTAGAACGTCTAGAATGGTCTAAACACTTACAATAGTTTTTTTTTTTTTTTTCGACACAGGGTTATCCGGACCTTTGCTCCGACTAATTCCTTACGGCTCGAGAATTGAGACCAATTTCTTTCGAACACGTTAACCCCAGCATTCGATCCTTGATAGTCATATTCTAAAGAGGAGCAACACATCACACGAGTTACCCTGGATTGGACACTTATAATAGTGTCTGAGAAATCATTTAGTTAGCACAATTCAAAGGACAGACACATGTTTTGTAGACTAAATGTCACGACTTTGACCACTCACAATCTCTACTTTGTATAAGGTCTAGCGGGCTGGAGGTGGTCTACCGCAGAAAATCACTTTCTTACTCTTTAAAATCCTCTACAAAAACATACCATCATTCAAGTTGATTTATTTTATTTTGTGCAAAAATTAAAGATAAACATCCTTCAAAATATGCTAAAGGATATTTGTTCAAGTCCTTTGCATATTAAAAATCTGGACAAATATAGTCTAAAGGAAAGTGATTTTGAGTCGTGATTTGAAGCGATTTTGTATAATTTCTATTTGTAATCATTAGCTATTTTTCTTGTATTTTATTTTTTGCCCTAACAATTGAGATTAAAAAAAAGGTCTGAAATATTCTTAAAAATTTTTCAAAAATATTTTGTGAAAACCATGTCCAAACGGACCAAGTCTGGTATCCATCCTTCAATCTTTCAATCTTTTGAATGATTTTCCTTAAATAAAACTCAGCCTTAAGGAAAAGTAGACAAAACAAACAACCAAACTAACTTTTGCATGGAAATCCTACAAAAAGTGAAAGTATTGAGAGAAAATATACTCTCTATAAAATTTTAGGAGTGAGAAACTCTTATTAGGAAATTCTATGGTGAATAATTTATTACAGAATTAAAAAAAAAAAAAAAAGGACCATTGGGAGAGAGACCATTGGAAGCAGAGAGAAGGCTGAGAGATTTTTTTTTCTTTTTGATTTTATGTTATTATTGCTACATTACATAATATTATAGTGAATTGATAATCTGGGATTTGATTATTCCGAGAGAGTTTAAAACATATGAGCAAAGAGTTAATTGAAAAGGACAAAAAGAATAGTACTCTAAATTATGGGATTTTGACTTTCCAAAAGGAGGGGACTCCCAAGTTTGTTTGATTTATGAAAAACCAAATGCTTGTGGAATTGTACTTTAACGCTAATCCCTCTTTTGCTTTCATGATTAGCTAAAAATTTCAACATTTAGACAGATTCGTCCACGTATACAGCTATCAAAGCTCAATAAAAACAAAACCTCCAATTTTGTTGGATGTACTTTTTTTGGCATCAATTTATGGATTTCATTTAACTTTTGTTAAAATCAAAATCCAAGCTGCCTGAAGGAAAATAAATCTTTTCCAGGCTACATTATGTATCTCGTGAGAAGTAGATGAATCAACAATCGAAGCAATCACAATAAAATAAAATAAAAAAAAGAGGACCTATAATTTTGATACATAACACTAGACCTGGCAATTATACCCAAAACCCAACAACCCACCCAATCAATCCACTAATTT